ATTGATATCCCAGAAGGAAAAAATACAACTATAAATGAATCTAAGGCACGCCTGAAGCGTGGAAGACGGGCCGGTTCCAAAGATAAAAATCCTCGAAAACGAAAAGGAACAAATATAATTAATGATCCAAAAGAGAAAACAAAATCTCTTGAAACTATTAGTGAAGCTCTAGAAGAGCCCAATGACACAACAAAAGAAACTAAGGTATCTGAAAAAAATGAAAATGAAGAGATATCAATAAGATGAAACCGAAATAAGACAGACGTCGATGATAATGTTGTATATCATGTTGCACACAGGATTATGAAGAAAATGAGGATCTTGAACCTAAATCTATGGAGGAATGTAGGAATGGAAAAGATTAGCCAAAATAGAAAGATGTGATAAATAAAGAGCTTAATTCTCCTACTTAATGAAAACTTTTTGGACCTGTAGTCCATACACCAAACGGGGTAAGAGCAATACGACACAAATGGTATTTATGCATAAAAGAAATTAGAAAAATGAAGTTGTGAGATATAAAGCAAGACTCGTTGTACAAGATTTTACCCAAAGGCCCAAAATTAATTGTAAAGAAACATACTCTCCTATTGTTAATGCAATTACATTATGTTATCTAATAAGTATGGCAACACATGAAAAACTGGAGATACGTCTAATGGATTTAGTTACCGCCTATTTATATGGTTCACTTGAGAATGATATTTATATGAAAATCCCATAAGGGTTTAAGGTGTCAGAAGCACAAACTTTTTAATCTCGATAAGTATATTCGGTAAAATTAAATAAATCTTTGTATGGATTGAAACAATTTGGTCATATGTAGTACAATTGCTTAAGTACATTTTTGTTGAAAAAGGGCGACAAAAATGATCCTATAAGCCCATGTGTATTCATAAAAAGATCTGGATCAAAAAATTTCATAATTGTTGTTTAAGTAAATGATATGAACATTATTGGAACTCCTAGAGAGTCGCAAAAGGTTACTTCTTTTCTGAAAGAAAATTTTAAAATGAAAGATCTTGGTAAAACGAAATTTTGTTTGGGTCTTCAAATTGAACACACCAAAAAAATGGAGTTTTTGTACATTAATCTAATTATCTATAAAATGTGCTTAAGAGGTTTTTACATGGGTAAGGCACTTAGATGCCAAAAAGGACCAATTTCGGCCTTCTGAAAAGCACGAAAAACTTCTTGGTTCCGAAGTACCATATCTTAGTATTATTAGTGCACTAATGTATCTTGCTAATAATACAAGACCTTGTATATCTTTTGCCTTAAACTTATTAGCAAGATATAGTTCTTGTCTAACAAGAAGACACTGGAATGGAGTCAAACACATTCTTTGGTATCTTCGAGGTACAATGGATATGAGTTTATACTAATCAAATTCATCAAATGTGAAGTTAATTGGTTATGCAGATGCTGGATATTTATCTAATCCACACAAAGCTCGATCTCAAACAAGTTATTTATTCACTCATGGAGGTAAGAAAATTTCTTGACATTCTGTTACACAAACTTTAGTTGTTGCTTCTTCTAACCATGTAGAGATTATAGCAATTCATGAGGCAAGCCATGAATGTATTTGGTTAAGAAATTTAAATAAACACATTCGCAAGAATTATGGTCTAACTTCTAACAGGGATGTTCCAACCATACTATATAAATATAATACGGCTTGCATAGCCCTACTACAGGAAGGATTTATCAAAGGAGACATAACCAAGCATATATCACCTAAGTTCTTTTTCACTCATGATCTTCAAAAAGAGTGTGGCATCAACATCCAGAAAATCCAGTCAAGTAACAACTTGCCCGATTTTTTCATTAAATCACTTGCTACATCCAAATTTGAAAATATGATACAAAACATTTCTATGCGGTGCTTCAAGGAAATTGAGTGATGTGTTGATCAGGGGGAGTTGGAAACATATTGTACTCTTTTCTTTATCTATGTTTTTCCCACTGGGTTTTCTTGGCAAGGTTTTTAACGAGGCAATTCTTTCCAATATCTATTATTAATCATGTACTCTTTTTCCTTAATAAAGGGTTTTTTCCCATGAGGTTTTACCTATTAAGGTTTTAACGAGGCATGATACAATAGTCATTCAAGGGGGAGTCTTATAAAATATTAGTTTATGAATGACCATTGGATTCCTCATTTCTCTCATAACTCTCTATCATTATTTAGCATTAGTAACAACCATTTCAATGTGTTTTATGAGTGTAATAATGCACCATCATAATGTTCATTCATCTTTCATCTTATTTTGGTTGTATAAATAGTGAGCCATATGTATTAGAAAGTTGATGATTTTATCACAAGTATTGGAATAAAAGTTCTCTACACTCTCATGTCTTTCTTTACTCTACAATTTATCCTGTTTTTTGAAATATTTTATAACACTATCAATATTATTACATGACTTTTTTACATTGTATTTTTATTTTATATCCTTTTCGTTGTACAAAAAGTCATATTACATCATTTTTGTATCCTTTCACTAAAATATATATATATATATATATATATATATATATATATATATATATATTAATAAATCAATTTAAAGGTTGTATGTATTTAACTGTGTTAATTTACTTTCTATTAGGGATGTGTATTTGGACCGAGTACTTGAACCAAAACCAAAACCCGGACCGGACCAACCCATGTAACATCCTAAAACTTAAGACTATGTTCTTAAACTAATAAAGTAATAAATGAAAATTTATTTATATAAATAAATCATCAAGTATTAATCATATCCTTAGTGGTATGAAGTTTGGAAAGCTAGAAGAGAAAATAATAACATTTAAAATGTTAAAGGGCCAAAAGTGTCAAACCGATAATGTGTGTTGACCAAAGGGTTGACTTAGTTATTGGAAAGGACTACCAAAGTTATATAATGGATGGAAGAGGACTTGTTATGTCAATCTTTTAGTCAAATTTAAAAATAAATGGTGTAACGGTAAAAATCGACAAAATGCATGAATTAGAGGGACCATATATGAAAAAGTGGGAAATAAGATGCACCTACTCTTCCCTATGGAGGAAGAACGACTTTGAGCTCCAAAACCCTCTCTAATGGCGATTTTCACCTCTTTGCCTCCTAGGGTTTAATACAAGGCAAGTTTTGAGCATTCATACACATGAAAGAGGAATCAAAAGCTTGCTAGGTATGACCTCTTCTCTTCTACCTCTAAATTTTGAATTCAAGGTTTGGGGAAAACCCCAATGTGGAAATTAGTATGATTCATTGATTAGGGTTTTGGTTTCTATCCTTTCTTAAGTTATTTTGATAATCTTAATCTCAATGCAATCATCCCATTGATGGATTTGAGAATTTGGGTGAAAACCATCATGAACCCTAGAAATTCAAATTGGGGATTTCATGTATATATGTTAAATTGGAATGGGTTCAATGACCTAGATGATGTTTGATGATGATCAATCCAATTGGAATAGTTAAACACATCCATGATGGTAGAATCATGAAAAAGCTTGGATTGAATTGGATTTGGGGACAATATGATGAAACCAATGGAATCCTTTGTATTTAAGCAGTTGATGGGTAAAGGAAGTTCATAATCATGAATGGATACTCTTGTAATTATTTGAATTCAAAACATATAGTGTTTATTGATTCCTAGATTAATATATGGAGTTATTGGCTGTAAGGGAAATTTGGGAAAATTGAATGGAATTGAGGATTCCATAGTTAGATTGGGTATTTACAATTAGCTTGGTTGTGGTTTTATGTACTCAAAAACATTCACTTGAGTGTTCAATAAGTTGGGAACAAGTTTTGTGGACTTTAGAATGTTCAAGTGCAAAATGGACTAGTTTACCCTTCTTTTAAACACTTAAGGATCATTATGTTCTCACTGGTCAATGATCACTTAATTGACTAAGTGGAATGTTTTAAGATGATAAAACACCTCCTAATCATATGTGAGAACCTATACAACTGGTGCAAAGTGAATTGGAAATGGTGTCCCAAGAGTTATGCAAAGTAGAGTGTTATTTTGAGAAAATACGGATTAAGAAAAGTATGCAGCCATGTGAACACGACCCGTATTATTTAAGCGTAAATCAACACGGCCCGTGTCCCTCTTGAGGATTTGTCACTCATTTTCTTCTAAATTTTGCATACGGGCTCGGATTTACGCATTGTTTTCGCCTACATTCATATTTTTACATAAGGAATAACTTAAATCAATAAAATTTAGTAATGGAATCCTTTAGGGGCATTGTGGTTATTTTATTTTACTTTCAAGTACTTCATATATGTGTGGTATTTTATAGTGTTGCTTTAATGAAAGGAACTAAAAGAGGACTAGCTAGCCTTCTTGTTATTCAGGTAAGTACATGTTGGCATTTTACCACTTTGGGGTACATGGAAAAATGATTTTTATTATATGAACTCAAATTCATATAAAATGTGAGTATCAAAACTAATATTGAATTCAAAAGTTAAAGTAGAAGTTAAGTCTATAAAATGAAAAGAGATTGAAAGTTATAGCAATTTTCATTGAAGGCTCCACTTTCCCAGAATCAATCAGACCCAAAATCTTCTCGTCTCACCCTCTTTAAAACTAGAAATGCTCAAAACTCTGTTTGCAACAAATTAGCGAAAGTTTTTTAATGATGATTTCAAAGAAACAAAAAGTATGAGGAAGTCTATAAAAAGCTCATGCCCATAAGCATTCAAGGTATCGTGTTCACGAAAAATAACCATAAAGGTTAAACATAGAAGCATATCTGGTTTTGGATTAAAAAAATGAATAAAAAAAGGTAATACATAATCACCAAATCATGTATTATACAAAGTCCAATGTACATACAGTTGTAGGCAAGAGAAAGCTGCAACAACAGAATATCAATAAATTTAATCTTCAATCTCTATTCATGATATGAAACAAATAATTTCATTTTTTTTTTGTTTTTGTTTACTAACCTTGATTTGGAGTTGGAAAAATTTAATATATTGAACAGTTTACATAAGCATTGTGCTTATTTCAACCTTCATTAACAAAAAAAAAAAGTAATATTAATTTTTTTTCGTTAAAGGGTAGTAAAATAAAGAAAACTTAAATAATAACTGGTTGCCCATTTGTCATTAGGGAGAAGGCTACATTCTTAACCTTAAATTGAAGCTCGCTTCTTTTTCTGCAAAAGACAAAAAAAAAAAGCTACTCTATCAACTTCTGCAAAAAGGTTATTCATATCAATGTTGCCTTTCGATCAACTTGCCACCACGTGAATCAGTGCTACATTCCTGTTTTGAAATTGACGGTTTCTGGTTATATTATGAAGGGGATAACTGTTTTTTTTAATGGAGACAAAGGATCTTTGGGGCAGAACTGATGTTCTTATGAAGATGAAAGATCTCGAGGGTGAATATGATGGTCTTATGAATAGCAACGATGGTTTTGAAGATAAAGAAGAAGCTGCTTATAATGAAGCTATGATGGAGATTTTGGAGATATATAGATAGGAAACAGATATTGTGGAATTTCTCACCATTAACCGTTTACATTAACATAGTTCCTCTTTCACCAACATTCATTGCTACTTCTTGAATATCAATAAAGTTAGAACTTATTCTTATGTTTAATCAGTTAAACATGCCCACTTAGTCATCTCTCCCAAGCCTCAATGTAATTAAAAAAAAACTTTTTACTTGTTTATCCTTCATACCTAATCAGTACGACAGTTTGAATCAGAATCGGACCTTTATCTTACCGTATTACAGCATCTAGTAATGAATGATAACTTTGCATTGAAAGGTCCAAAATATCCCGCAACCAAAGATCCATGTTATCATAAAGAATAAAAAAATAGGCAATACACTATATGGCACATATAAGCAAATGAAATCCGCAATGGCAATAAAAAAAAAAAAAAAACCAAGTCAGCAATGACAATAAGCACCAACAACTTTGCTATTCTTTTAATTTTCTATTATTTTATCCTTGTGGCCTGAGTGGCTTGTTACTCTAAGGAAATAAAAAATTAATGACAAGATGCTTTAAATGAAGAAGCTAATCTGCAAAACTTCTATTTTTTTCGCAAAACTTCTATTTTTTCAAAAAGAATTCTAAAAATAGTCACCTTGTCTCTATCTGATTAAAGGATATGTACCTGAAGAGTGACTGATGAAGTAGTTAATCTAAATGCATATCCACCAATTGAAGGATGACTAATTATTGCAACTTCTTTAAAAGCTTCAGTGGTTTGATCTGCATCATATGAATAAATAAAAATCATAATACAAAAACATCGTGTCTTTTTTATAAGTCGGCCTAAAATTTACAAAAAGAGAGAGAGAGAGAGAGAGAAATTAATTGGTGAAGTGGTTGCATTAATCTATTTGGATGCATTGTAGATATGGATAACAAATGAAACCCCCTGAAATAGATAGAAATAGATGTGAATGTTGTTGTTCTTTCCAAGTAACAACCGATATCATACTATTTAGCATAGCCAATAAACGAAATCAACTTAAGAAACCAAAATTTGAACAATGCATTTCAATGGAGGTAATATGTATATGAACTATATACTTGCGAATTGACATTGTTCTAAATAAGGAAATCAGAACAAATGTGAAGGAAGAAATAAGAAGTGTACCTAAGATTGAGCTGAAACTTGTGTCTCCAAAATTACGACAAACTGCGGAAAACATATTTAAGTCACAATAATATTATCAAACTAACTGAATCCATATTAAAAAATCGAACCTACACCATCCAGCAAAAAAACCATGTTACAAAACAATCGATTAGAAGAAGAAAAAAAGGGGCCATGTGTTATTTACTGTATCGTACGAATCGATTCAAGAAAAAGACAAGAGTAAAAGAGATAAACCTTACGGGATTAAAATATGGTACTCCGAATCGGAAGAAACTAAGAAGCAACCAACATCAAAATTCAAAACTTAAAACTTAAAACATGTAATTGATCAGTGAAAAAATTAATCCCTGTCATGAATTTGATCAAACAACTTGCCTACAATCTGATTTCTATTCTTTGATTATTCTAAGCATTTGATTTCTATCCTTCTATTAACTTTGACTGGGTTGGTCATCATCAAGACTTTCGTTCCTAAGAAATATAAGGCATAAGACTAATCAAATCAAGACATATCTGAGAAATCTAGATGAACATGGATTATTAACATCAATCAACGCATAACCAAATTAAACAAAAGGCATCATCACCAACGACACTGATAACCATGAAATTGGTATCAATATTGTCGATTTCAAAAGAAAGCAGAAAAAAGGAAGAAAAATGAACATGGGGTGAGACGGTGTAGTTGTGTGGTACGAAGGTGGTGGTGGTGGTGGAGGCTGAGAGAAAGGGGGACCGACTGGTTCCAGGGGTCATTTCGTGAGAGGCTATCGACAGCGGTGCGTGAGAAGCTATCGGCGATGGAGATTTCTAAAGGCCGTTGGAGAGAGGAAATCGGTGGCGAATTTTTCCTATGATAGAGAAGTCGGCGGAGATTATTCGTCTCTTACAGAATAGCGTTGGTTTAGAGGAACGGTGGAAGGTACTGGAAATGGAAAGTTGTTTAGTTGAAGAAGGGTAGGTGGAGTGATTAAACCAACCCTGCTTGAGTTAAAGTAGCAGTGGTAAAGGAGAAGGAGAGGCGGTGGAAGTAAGCGATGAAGAAAAATCTAGAAGATGAGTAAAGCTATCCAGGAATTTAAAGCGGTGCATCAGTGGAAAGAAAGCAGTAGAAGAAGGTGGTGGAAGCAAATGCAAGTGATTGGGCGACATAGGCGGTGGATCTGGACCGGAACAGTTTAACCTGGGACCAGGGATGCATATATAATTTGAGCAGGAGAAAAATCGATAAAACCCACAAACAACAAAAGTCCAAGGGCTAAAGTGAAAAAGAACCACTTTTTACTGTTCACAAAAGGGGTTCAAATTTTATATCTATATATAATGAAAATGCTTTGATATATAAAATGTTTTGAAAAGAAAGTGTTAAATGTTTTGAAAGAATACCCTGAAGGCAAGAATATTTTTTAAAGCAAAGAACATTTTCGAAGAACGAATGTTTTGATAATGTATTTGAAAGGTTTTGAAATATATATGTTTTAATTTTGGAAATGAGTATTTTAAGCGAACGAATGAAATGTGTAAAGCCTAGAAAGTAATGACAAGAAATTGAAAGTAATGAAAAGAAATTGGAAAGTAATAAAAAGGAAAGAAAATAAATAGATAATAAAAACTGTCCGGGCCATGATATCTCATAAGAGACACTAGAGGAATCTATTGGGGTGGTACCTTCCCTTCACGAGGTAGATGACATGATCAGCATTATACCTTGGTGGATCGAGTTGTTCTTTTCACCTCGGCATTGGACTTAGATAGAAATCCAAGGGAATGATACCTTGGTGAATTGATTTTGTTCTTTTCACCTTGGCCTTTGAAAGCATGATGCCTTGGTGGATTGATTTTTTCTTTCTACCTTGGTCTTGTAAATGGAAAATGATATTGCTAGATAATATATGATCCTAAAGGGTCACACTAACAACAACTTGATGCATATATATTATTTATAAGAATTTGATCATTGATAAATAAATATAATTCTTGTAATTAATTGGAAATTATATATTTCATGGAAATATTAATTTCAAATGTTAATTATCAAAACATATCATAATATATCATAAGGCATGATTTATTATGTCATGTACATCTTTTTGGACCAAAAGGGGGTTTTGTCTTATATGGATTTATATGTTCGATAAGTTACAAAAATTAGAAGAGATTTTATAGAAAAACTAGCTTCTTCTTTTTAAAAAATATTCAAGGAGACCATAAAGAAGAAATAAGACTTGGTTTTGATTAATTTATTCAACACACCATGCTCTAGAAAGCATGGCTACTTGGTTTGATAAAGCATGGGTCTTAAAGTGCTAAGACCCATGAGATAAATGTTTAAAGTAAGAGCTTAAAAAACTAGTTTTCTCCCTTATTTGATAATCCAAAATCATGAAATTTTAGTCTTCCAATCTTCATATTCTCTCTAGTTTTGTCTCTTAAAGTTTTAAGATCAAAGTAGGAAGAAGTTGATACTTTACTTGAACCCTCCTTTAGAATAAAAGCTTTGTTTTGTTCTTAAAGGCTTAAGAGTGTTATTATTACAAGATGAAGACTAGCATCTTATCAAGTTGGCTAAATGTTGGTGGATAGTTCTAGAGAGCTTCTTCCTTGGAGCTTAAAGTCATCTTCATCAACTTCCTAATTGCCAAAAGGAACCAAAGTCTTCAAAGTTTGTAATGATTTCCTTCTATGATTGTTTTAATCTTTCTAAGTCTTGCAAAATGATCTTTTGGTGGGAATAAAACTAGTTTTATTTTTTCCAAATCTAAAGTCTTCCGTTGCTATGTTTATGTTTTTGAAACAATTTTTAAATAAAAACCCAACAATTGGTATTAGAGCCATTTTTGCAAGATTAGTTAGATTATTTTTTCGGATGATTAAATCTTTGTTTTTGGAGAATATTGATGATTTTCACTTTGCAAGAAAAATCCATACATATTTTCTATGACAACTTCTAAAATGTTTATAATTGTTATTTGTATGACTACAAGTTTACATTTAATATACATATAATTATAATTATGGATATCATTTAATATACATATAATTATGGAAATCATTTAATATCTATATTTATTTAATTAAATAATTATTTAATTTACTAAATTCCTATTGGTGCATTCTAGCATACAATAAATGTAAAAAACAAAATAACCTAACCCTATATATATATATATATATATATATATATATATATATATATATATGTGTGTGTGTGTGTGTGTGTGTGTGTGTATGTGTGTATGATGTGCATAAACTAGCCAAAGACCTTTGTGTTGTTATTTGTGTTGATTTGTTGAAAAAGTTATTGTAATATTTATTTATTCATATGGTATGTAATAATTAAATAGATTAGTTTTCGTCATTTATTTTTGTAAGTAATAGATTCGTTTTTAGAAATAATTTATTTGTACACAAATGTAACAAAAAATGAAAATGGAGTCATTTTTTGAAGACCAAAATGTAATTTTCGCAACTTTAAAGTGTGTAGGGGCAAAGGCAACCTTTCTGCAAACTGTTGCAAAAGGTGTTGTTGTTGGCAGCTTCCCTTAGAGCTATTGGACCTAATGCAACCTTTTATGCAGCCTTTTCTGAAAAGTGTTGCATGTTACTGAATTATTACGTTCAAGAAGCTTATCAACTTTTTCAAGCAATGAGTGTTTTCTCTAGTGGGAGCTTCTACAAAAACATTACTAGAAGATTTTTGGTCCCTTTAAATGTCCATTTAGGATTGGACTTGACATTTTGTGATGGCTCACAAAAATGTCAATAGTTGGTTGGTTTATGAATATATGTTTGTGTTGTTTTATATTTATATTGTTCTAATTATATAGTCGATAAATTAGTTTTTCAAATACAAAATAATATTTGAACATAAATAAACATCAAGAATTAGTTTGGTTTTATTGAAATTACCTTTTTAACAAAATATGGTAAAATAACTTTAAAAATAAACAAGCGTTATTGTTAAGACTAGTAACCAGTAATATTTTGGGATTAAAGTGATATAAGTTTAAAATAGAGATTTGTAAACTTATCAAACTCCAAACCATATTTTATAAAAGGAATGTTTATTAAAAGGTTTACAAATGTTATAAAGCACTCAAATGTAAAACTTAATGCTAGCCATTAAAATTTGATCGCCTTAATTTTATAAAACCGGATTTTAAAAAAAGAACATTGTTAAAATATGATTTTACATAAAATAAGATTTTTAAAGTATACAATGGTTTGCTGGATGCATGCAATAACCACGATATAATAATTTTTTAAAATTAGAATTATAAAAACATCAAAGACCCCTTACAAACCTCAAATCTATGCAATCCTTTTTGAAGAACACTCGCACGTCTCTTGTATACACAATTGCGATAAAGGATACCTAACAGCTTAGTGTTATATTTTTATGGTTGGGGAGTTTTCGCAATTTATATAACAAAGTTATAGGCCGATTACACAAGTTTTTTAAATTGGATGATCTGATCGAAAATATTTTGTGATAAAGGGCTCCTAAGCAAGAGAGTTCCGAGGCGTAAATCTGTTTTTAGCGATCTCGTAAATCTAGGAATTATATAGTAAAATATAATTGATAATCAATATCTATTGGTTAGATTTAAATGAATGAGATAAATGATACCTAACCATTTATCTGTTTCGCAACTTGGATCTTAGACTTTGATAATTAGTGTTTTTGGAAACTAAAAGGATATTAATTATTAAAGATTAAATATTGAAAATACCTGTGATAATCTCCATTCTAGAATGATTCCGCCATTCTGGTTTCGGGGTGTGACAATCTCTATATCTCTACCTGTGATATAAGGAAACAAATTGGGTCAGGTTGGGAACCTGGTGAGCACATAGGGTTTTCATCCCACAATATTATATTTTTTAATCATATAATCTTCAACATTTAAATGTCCTAATTACCTCATTCCCGTCATCCTCACTTTCTAATCCTAGTATGATAATCTCAAAGGATCATTCTTAAGGACCTTTGTCCGCAACTATCTATATTTCCTAAATGAATAGGCACGACAATATGATAGTATTTCAGAAAAACAAGGCAAGCACGACAGTACAATAGTACTATTAGTCAAACACGACAGGCACGGCAGTACAATAGTACTTTGGACGAACACGACAAGCACGATAATACGATACTACTTTGGTTAGGCACGGAAATTCACGTCTTATTATTTCATGCAACTCTCACTAACCTATCACGGCCACTACTCACACAGCCCAATCACATCCTTTCCTTTATTATTTCACACGACCCTTTACTACCCAATCGTATTATTAAGTATATAGTTTGATTAAGTAATAACTATAACATGTTGCATATATATATATATATATATATATATATATATATATATATATATATATATATTAAACACAACAATACATCACACACAGTATCTAAGCATTTAGAATACTTGCATCTATGTGTAAGTCGAAAGTAACTATGCACTCACCTGATAGAAGTAGGTGACTCAAAGTTAGGGCAGCGCTTCACCATCACACCTTTCAAAGACCTAAATGTATAACACTAAGTCTTAGCCTAGTTTCATAACCCTGGCGACTATTTAAATAACAGTCTAGATTCCTCACTAATCCCAATGTCTACATCAAGATCTATCAAGTAAGGAACAAACAGGTAGGATCATATCGGAGCTAGGGTATTATACTGTTTGGAAAGCCCACTTTAAACACCTCATTAAATACAGCCTAGACATCACTCCCGTAAGTAGATCAAT